GTTAAGCCTCTGCCTTTGGCTCAGGTCATGATCTCAGGGTCCTGGGATCGAGTCCCGCATCAGGTTCCCTGCTGAGCGGGGAGCCTGCTTCCCCCTCTCCCTCTGCTGCTCCCCCTGCTTGTGCTCTCTCTCCTTCTCTCACTCTCTGTCAAATCAATAAATTCTTCAAAAAAAAAAAAAAAAGAGCATGTGTGAGTGAAAGTAATGAACTACTCTTCCCATAAAAGCAAAAACAAAGAGGCTACACACTGCTTTGTGGGAAGAAGGCTCACGCCTGGGAGAGCCTACCCAAGATCCTTGAAAGGCTCCTAACAAACGTGACCATGCAGAAATATGCAGTTACCAGAAAACGCAGACAGTGACTCCCCTACCTAATACTAATTTGTTTTTGTTACTTCAAGGGTAAGGGGGTTCCCTTGATCCTTGAACTGAAATCACAAAAACTGATTGTGGAAAACATACAGAATATAGGAAACAGATTCAGTGAAGATCACGTACTATGGAATTCTCGGGGTTCTTTCTTCCAAACATTCATGTTAAATGGGTTACCGACAATAAGACAGACCGTGCTTTTAAAAAAGTAAGGACACCAATGCTTCCCTTCTCCCATGGTCCATTCCCCTTCCTCGATATGACAGGCTTGTGCTTTACGGGGTTTAATGACTTCATTTCAGCCTCTTAAATGCTAAGTATTGTGAACAACCACTCCAACCGTATCAGTGCTAATAACTTAGTATAAACATAACCAAACACTCAAGTAGCTACGTGAGTTACCTTTTATTTGAAGAATTCTTTCCATATGTAAACCATCACTATGACACCCATAGTTTTTGTTTTGTTTTGTTTTTGTTTTTCGTTTTTAGTAATTAGTTCTTAAATTTAATAGCTCTTCCTTTTAGAAAATTTCAATGGAGGGGTGCCTGGATGGCTCAGTGGGTTAAGCATCTGCCTTGGACTAAGGTCTTGATCCTGGAGTCCTGGGATCGAGCCCCATGTCAGGCTTCCTGCTCAACCAGGAGTCTGCTTCTCCCTCTCTCCCTGCCCTCCCCCTGCTCACTCTCTCTCTCTCTCTTGCTCGCTCGCTTGCTCCCACTCTCTTTTCCTCAAATAAATGAAATCTTAAAAAAAATTTTCAATGGAATCTTGGAATCTTTAAGACGTTATGTGCATCTTGCTGAATTAATGATTTGTTGCTCTGAACTTCAAACAAGTGAGTCGAACTCTAAATGCCCTCATGTGCCATGGGTTCCTAGTCCTGACAGTTCAGGAAAGGTTAGAGCACTAAGAAGGGGTGACAGATTTTACTGTCGATTACAAATTGCTTCCGATAGCCGATGTGGAGAGCAAAGTTGTACAAGAGCAATATTCAACACGTACGGCATACATCATTCACTGAGGCTGTCTTTCGGGCCTAGGTCTTCGGCTGATTCTACCTGACATTTCAGCCACAAACTGGTCAAACTGAACAGAGGACACGGCTAGATGACCCCAAGTAAAACGGACAGCATTTTCCCATGAGGCACTGCTGTATATGCCATTAGGTTATAGGGTGTTGAGGACTCCTTATATACTCTCAGGGTGTTGAGAGTAAAGCAACCGGCCGACAACATAAATCTGGCTATCTTTAGCAACTACGCTTCTATAATTCATTTGGATTAAAATAATATGAACATGTTACTTCGGGTAATACAGTGTATCATTTCAGGGACATTTGTGGGGTGACCTGAAAAACCTTACCTGCTACTTCCATGACAGAACAGGTTTCAAACTACAGATGGATGGAGAAATGAACTCTGGAAGGCTCATCAGTGACTGAAGGCTAACATTCCCCTTTATCCCCACCCATGGAGCTACCCACCTACAACTGCAACTTGGCCTTGGAGGTACCCTTGAATGTTTAAGGAGACTTAAACATTACTATTTAATGTGCCAAAGAGATTGCTATCTCCTGCAAGTATGCTGCTCCAGCAACCCTTGAGATGCAGGAGGGAAGGGTAGAGCTTTTATTAAGAAGTGCAGGCACGCAAACACGGCTGTTACTTGGGAAGTCATGCATGGCAACTGCATAGAGTTAATGAAACTAAGCAACGTTAGCCCTCTACCGACTTCCCCAGCCCTTACGAATAATTAAGCCATCTCAAATTCTCTTGTTCGCATTGTTTTAAAGATCCTATTTATTTATTTTGAGAGAGAGCATGAGCAGGGGCAGGGAGAGAGGCAGAAGGAGAGGGAGAAGCAGACTCCCCACTGAGCAGGGAGCCAGAGGCAAGGCTCGGTTCCAGGACCCCGGGATCATTACCTGAGCTGAAGGCAGACGCCCAACCCGACTGAGCCACCCAGGTGCCCCCTCGTTTGCATTGTTTTAAAGGAGATGCCCCATTGAGTCCTAGTTGGTCACCACTAACTCCCCTTCTCCAATTCCTGTAGCTCCGCCCTCTTTCATTGTGGGATGACCACCTACTTCTCTATTTCTTCCACCTGTCTGGGAGCTCCTTGAAGGCAGGGCTGGTATCTTATTTGACTTTGTTATTTTGGCTCGCCATAAGCACCTACTAAATGTCTGTTGAATAAATAAAATGATGGAGGCAAGTAAGGAAATTGAACATCCGTAAGCAGAAAGCAGGCTAAACAGTTGTCTCCTGTGGTTTTAAAAATGCATATTCTATTAGAGAAAGCAGTGAAGAAAACAGTCAAAACAAAATAATGTTCCCGCATTCTTCACATTCAATTGGCCTATCAGCATGCTTTAACTATCTACTCTTGTCTAATGCTCCAAGATACTACAAAACTACTCAAGATGTTTGCAGCCTGTCCTTTGAATTTAGCTGAAAGTCAAACAGAAAGGGTTTTTTTTCCCCCAGAAACTGTTTTTACTTGTTACAATTTTGCAATCAAATAATAACCATCAGACACAAATCGTCCTTTTACAAACCCGCAATTTATAGGTAAAAGTAATGTTTGGAAAAAAACATAAATTGCCCCAAACTAAATTTAGCTACATTTCAATGTTTTATTATGAAAATTTCCAATAAACACGAAAGAGAAAATAGTACAATAAACACTCATAAACCCACCATCCAGATTGTATGTTTATCAGGATTTCCCCAAACTACTTCATCTCTTCTCCCTTTTCTGTCACTTTCTCTCCTGAATTACTTTATTTAGTTATTTTTTTTAAGATTTTATTTATTTGACAGAGAGAGATCACAAGTAGGCAGAGGCAGGCAGAGGCAGGCAGAGAGAGGGGGAAGCAGGCTCCCTGCTGAGCAGAGAGCCCAACGCAGGGCTCTCCGGAGATCATGACTCAAGCCGAAGGCAGAGGCTTAACCCACTGAGCCACCCAGGTGCCCCTCTCCTGAATTACTTTAAAGCAAACCCAGACAGACATCTCATGTATTTGCCCTACATAGCTCTCTTAAGAAATGAGTTCATTTCCTGGAATTACCTCTATTCTATTCTCAAATCTGGCATAAGCTAGATTCTAATTGATCTTTTTTTCAAGTACCAATACCTATGAGTCACTTAAATGCCCAAGGGTGCCCAATCCTGTGTCATTTCCTGGAGGGATATCAAATACTTCCATTTAAAGTAAACGTTTCCTCTTTTTGTACTTAATAAAGAGAGAGAGAGAGAGGTAAGACCTTAAAGCAATGGCTATTTAAAAATAAGTTAGTAACTTTTCCAATAATGGAAACATTCAATTCAATTTAGTCAGACTGAAGACATTCTTTACATTCTTAAGTCAAGAGTTTTACAGATATTTTACATATGTCCTAATCATATTCTAAAAGCCCCTTTCCCCTTGACAAATACTAAATCAAAGCCAAAGATAAAATAACAAAGTGACACCTCTTCTTCTCCCACCAATAGCCAAGCTTGTGTGAACTCTTGGGATGGAAACAGCACACTCCCCTTTACAACGGTCTGAGCCCGTCTATATTTCCTAAGTGAACACTGACACTTTCCCCAAATATCTGAATAATTCATGAGAAAATACATTTGCTGCTAATGAAATTAATTAACCTTCACATCGGAGGGGTATTTCATTGTCCTTTCTATGAAAATTAACATTGAAGCCAAGGGCAACCTTCAGGTGTGTGCGTATGCATCTCTATGTGTGTGTGTGTGTGTGTGTGTGTGTGTGTGTGATACACACACACACACACACATATATACACACATACACACACATCACAAGGCAAGATCAGACTAGTTAACACACTTCAATTCAAAACAAAATATCTGTTAGTCACTGAAAGTACCTCCTGCAATGTTCTCAAATTGAGAAAAAACTTTTTACTGCATAAGCACATCAGAGTCGAATATCTAGCTCTGCTGAAAAAGGGAGAGAGAAAACGCATGTGATCACCAACGGATGGAAATCCCTGACAAGTCTGTGGGCACTGGAAATCACCATCGCTCCCACATTATAGTAACAGCACCCAAGTTTCAACACCAGTGATTTTCATGTACCTTGTAAAATAGAAATAAACAGTAACATGACGTTTGTCACAAGTCATTTTATAAGAGCAGAATACTGGTCTAACCATAACCAATTCTGTCATGACAGCTACCTCATCTTTTCCACAGAATTTTGAAGAACCATTTATGGATCAAAGGCATCAAAGACATCCACTCCCCATCCCCCGCAATCCATAAAGTAATAGTTTCTGTCATTTAAACCTCCGAGCCTCTAAAGTGACAGATACAGGTATATAATTAAGATCTCAAAACCAATTTTTTAAGCAAGTACAAAGTCCTTAGAATATTCCCCAAATAACGAAAAGGCAGAATATAAAGATAAAATTTTAGATTTGAAAAACCTCAAATATTTTCTCTCGTACTTGGTCCTCCTCGAGTAAGGAAGGTTTAGAATGCATCTCCAAATGCTTAACTACCCAAACACAGAGTAAGAATCTCAAACTTCTGAAATAAATTTCTGCTTAAATATTCAGTCATCGAGAAGTTAGAGCCTAACAAAACAGTATTAAAATAGTTACCCTTCTGCGACGAGAGCAAACCTGTTTCTTTCTCTCTCGCAGCACTAATAGAAGGAACCTCCCACGCCCAGAAAGCCAATCTGGAAACCCAACATTCTTCTTACAATTGCAACTTTGGAGAGCAAGTCACAACACTTCCTGCTAGAAAAAGAGAACACCCTGACAAAGGAATGATACAATGCTTACGAATCCCCTTCCGGACAGCCTTGTGGGATTCTGCCAAATATTAATAAATTCTAACTTTACGAGGTTTAGCAAAAAGTTAATTTTTTTTTTTTTTTAAATTCCAGCTCCGCTGAAATCCTGCAAGAACACAGGGGAATTTAAAAGTTGGTTCAGGTCAAATAGCTACAACCCACATACCTATTTAGAGCTTGAACATTAGCCAAGTAACCTGCTTATTTTAGAACACCTGGAACCAGCTTCTCCCCAGTGCCCAAGTCACTTGTCCACAGGAAAGTACAGTACTTAGAAAGGCAAATGAATGGTTCTCAGACGAATTGCGTTCTCTATTGTTCATTTCAGTCTATACCTATCCGTGCCTTCATACAACATTTATGCTCCATAAGCTACGTGTTGTAGCGTTTATTGCCAAGGATTTAGGTCTTGTTTTCTTTCGAAAAGGTCAGCTATTAAGTGTGGGAACTGTATTTTCTACAGGCATGGCACAGGGGGAGTAAGCCAATACTCGGCCGAACGGAATAACTTTCTATTCAGGGGCGGTCCCACAGAGTAGTGAAGGGCTGTGTGAGTCCTTGGGCAAGTTGCTTATGCTCCCGTGCCTCTGTTTTCTCATGTAGGGATGATAACAGTGACGACTTCGGGTAATAGTCACTGTTTTCTACGTTGTTGGGATGGTTAAGTAAGTGATGCAGTATGTGTTCACAACTGAGATCATATCCTTGCACATGAAAGGCGTTCAGTATGTGATAACTGGTAGTCTTCCTATTGAAATTTGCCTTTAAACCAATCGAGCCATTCCAGTCAGTCAACTGCTAAATTAAGCAACTGGTTCTCTGCGAGTGCCTTTTCGGGGAAAGAACAGAAAATCCATAGGGGTACTGTGCTAGGCTCTAGAGACCACTTCTAGGGATGCCTGGGTAGCTCAGTCGCTTGGGCATCTGCTTTCAGCTTGTGTCATGAGCCCAAGGTCCTGGGGTCAAGTCCCACATCGGGCTCCTTGTTCAGCGGGGAGCCTGCTTCTCCCTCTCCCTGCAGCTCTCCCTGATTGTACTCTCTCTCTCTCTTTCTCTGACAAATTAAAAAAATAAAAATCTTAAAAAAAAAAAAAAGGAGACCATTTCTAATACTGACGTGGGGCAAGTTGATGATCTGAAAGGAAAGGGAGCTCAGGGCAAGCGTCAGGGTCTTAGGAGTCTGCCAGATGTGAATTCTGTGTGACCTCACACAACTGCTTAGCTTCTCTGAGCCCTAGGTTCGTATCTGTATAGATCGAGCTCATTCCATGTACTTCACAGGGTCACTGTAATGAAGGAGATGACAGAAGTACGCAAGTGTGTCTGGTTCTGGCGAGGTGCTAAGTGGCAGACATTATTATAACCTTTCTGGGATATAACACGTGTCATACCGTCTGCCCTATTCACCTAATATGAACAAAGTGAGATCAGAGACACTCCAGCCCTTTATAAATACTCCAAAGCAAACCAAGGAATTTTCTGACAACATACAGAACTCTCAAAACAAGGAGGCGACTCCGACTGCACTCGCTTGTAAAAAGGTTCAGGGTAGTCCATGTTTAGAGGCAGATGGTCCTCCTGTCCTCATCACGGACCACCACTAGCGGACCCTGGATTGCATGTTGTCTCCTTAATGGAAACACTTTATTTTGTCAATCACAAAAACTGCATGAAATAGCAAAAGGCACCAAATCCGGAACAGAAGGAATATAGCGGCAGGAGCCAAAGGATGTGTTTTTCTGTCTGTCTCCGGGGCTGAGTCACTACATGAAGCCCCTTCAACCTTCTGGAGTCTCGATTTCTCCATTTGTGAAAATAAGCACAGCACTATCCGCCTGCGGCCTGCCAGGGAACACAGGACACAGTAAGGATGTCTTGAACACTTGGAGCTAACTGGCAGGAAGGAGATACTCGGATGTGTTACCATGCGTTTTACAGACAGAGAAAACCGGGGTGCAGACAATTGCCTCAGGCAAGATGACAGTATCCGCCTTAGACCCCAAACAGTGGCTTTTCCCAGCCTTCGCTTTTCTGCGCCACACTTGTCACTCCCAACCACTTGGATGGGTCTGTCTCAAGACAGACCTCAGGACTATCTCTGGACCTCTGGACCTCTTCAATAATAATGCTCCCTGGAATCCACTTCTCTTGACCTGCCCGTCCATGGCCATCTGGAGGGAATGTGTCTCCTTTCTACCTTTGTGAACTCTAAGGCTCATCTGTGATCCCAGGGCGATCCCGTCAACACCCAGTCTCTGGTTTTAAAGTCTATCAACAGCGTCACAGGACTCGTGTGAACTGCAAAACCTCGTGAGGTCATGAAAGTTCCAGGGATGGATGATGGATGGATGGATGGATGGATACTCCCTTCAGAAAGGCACATCTTCTCCCGAGGAACCAGGAGGCCATTTTCTGAAAGACTGTTCTACTGCATCAGTAGTTGAACCAGTTTCCGTCTGTGGCCCATTTTGTAACCTCAGTGTCTCACCCTCTGAGGTATGTGTGGGTGTGCAGGGCCGGGGTGGGGTGAAGTGGGGTGGGGGGCGGGGCGTGTTAGCGCGTGTGCCTGTGTGTGACTCTTGTGTGGGAACAGAAGCTCTGTTTGTACTGTGGGTAGTGAAAGTCAGGGTGAGAACAGAAAATGGCGGCAGGCGTTGTGGAAGACATTTCACGTCTTCTCTAAGCAGGCCACACATTGAAAACCACTTTGGCGCTGCATTCCAAATTCATCGTGATGAACGTCTAGATGGTACAACCAGATCCATAAAGTGAAAAGTTCACACATGCACACCTTGGGACACACACACACACACACACACACCCTCCTAAGGGTGGAAAGGAAGGAAAGAGGCACACCCGAAGTTGCCTGAGAGTTTCACAGACGTATCAGCGTAACTCTCATTCAAACGTCATGCTCTCCACCGCACCCAGTACCAAGAATATTCTTTCCATGTGTGACATAAACCCTGGAGGCCTCTCCCACCGTGCTTAGACACACCTCAGTAACACTGACCTATTGTCCTCTAACGCAACAGGATTTTACCCATCTGCGCGCCTTATAAGGCAAACAAACAAACAGTAACACTCACACTGCAGCATCGAGGCAAAGGGATCGTACATAAATCATAGGCAGGGAACTGCTACTGTATTTTGGACTATACTGGAAAGTTTAGGAAATTTATACTAGGAGTAATATTAGGTACACGAGCTTCCGGCGGCATGGATGTGTCTGCTTTAACAAGCAAGCGTGTCTGGTTTATGTTATCATTCTTTTCATACTTGAGGCGGAAATCAGCCACAAATACATCTTAATTATTTCAGTATTCTAAGGGATGTCTCCTCAACAGTAAGGATTACCTCTGCATCTGTGTAACAAAGTAATCACAATCTTAAAATAGGATGTCTTATTACACATTAAATTATATACTTTGTCCTAATGCACTAAAACAAAAGGTTGCAATAAGTAGAAGGTAGTTTTAAGCATTTATCCTCCAAAAATAGCTGAACTATAGACAGGGCAAGGAACTGATTTAAAAGTCATCTGCTGTGACTACAGTTAACAATACTGAACTGTATATCTGAAGTTTGCCAAGAGAATAAATCCTAAAAGTTCTCATCATAAGAAAATCTCCATGTGAGGTGTTGGATGTTTACTAGCCTTTTTGTGGTGATCATTTCACAATATATACATATATCGAATCATTATGTGGTATCCCTGAAATTAATGCAATGTTGATGCCAATCACATCTCAAGAACACTGGGGGGAAAAAAGCCATCTGTGTTCCGTTCATAGCTAGTAAAACCACACAAAGGAACAACTCAGATGCTATCCACCTTTCTATCCCGAGGGTCTCTCATTCAAAAAAAGAAAGAAGAAAAGGAAACAGGAGAGAAAAAAGGAAAGGACCAGAAACAACAAAAGCTCAGCTCAACAATTCCTACATTTTTGGCTCAGGACCTGAGGACCCCAAAGAGTTTTTTGATATGAGGTTTAGATCTATCAAGCCATCCATCATATTAGAAACTACAACTGGGAAAAAATTTTAAGGTATAAATAAATGTTAACATAAGAAACTTCTTTAATGAAAATCACTAGATTCCCCCCTCCCCCGGTCCCAAATGAGTGGAGAGTATATTGTTTACATTCTTGCAAACTGCTTTATCATTTAACTTAAAACAAAGACAAGTGGATTTTCACATCTGCCTCTACACTCAATGCTGTTTTAGGTTTAAGTGTATTCAGAAAATAAGGCCTTGCACAGGTACATTGTTGAAAGAAGTATTTTAAGAGCCCTTTCAGATAATTACGGATATTCTTCCTTATAATGCTACACCAAAACTTGAGAAGTGGTAGTTTCTTAAATGTTAGTTGCAGTGTGGAATTTGATACCATCCAGATGAATTTTTCCTACTCTGTTACATTAAAATCCATGGTCTATGTGTTGCACATTAAATGGGCCTCTTGCTATTTTAACATCATGCATGGGTCATTTGGAACAATATTGTTTGACTAATGCAGATCTTCCAAATGTTGTTCCACTTCATTTTACCATATCTAACAAAACACTTTCATTAAAAACACCACTGATCTCAGAAAAATCTAAGTATTGACACTCAGCGGCTGAGGCAAGTTTTCAAAATTTTGAATTTTTGCTCGACAGCTCTAATTTTATCTTTGGCAACAAATACTCTCAGTTGTTTGCCTGGTAGTAACAGGCCCACTTGGTTCATTTTTAGAAGTTTTTAAGTAATCTCTATACCCAGTGCGGGTTTGAACTCATGACCCAGAGATCAAGAGTTGTGTGCTCTCCCAACTGAGCCAGTGAAGCGCCCCTTGCTTGGCTCATTTGTGATAAAATATCTGCCACATACTCACGTCTGAACAATCAGTTAACAT